TAAAGATCATTATTGTCAATCTGATAGCAGTTATGCTTCATTAAAGGTGAATTTAATGAGAGAAAGCAGGAACACGTTGCTCTACAGCTGCACAGAATGATGCTTTACTCATTCATTATATAATAAAAACGATTTTGAACTGAGGAAAAAATTTCAGATGTGTCACTGTAGAGAAATGTGATTTAGATAAATCTGTTTTATTACCACTTTCATTTCAATAATTCCACTAGTGATGTTTACTACCGTTTAGTTCAGTAAATTTTGTCCGTCAGATTTATGATCATTAAGAAAAATAAGATTTAAAAATGACATCAAGCCAAAAAAATAGTAATTTACAACAGAAACATGAAATAACCTAAGAATTAATAAATAATTAAATAAATTAATTGGTCAAAAAAAAATTGCTTAATGGTTGATAGTTTCTTGAATCTGACAAAATAAGCCTCAATTAATGAAATATTCTTTCCTTGATATAATAATATAATAATAGTTTATGGATTATTCCCCAGCCTACATAAATATAAATGTATGATGCAACATTAGCAATAGGAGAGTCCTCTAATGACCTGGTTCCCTGATTAATCAATAGAATCTGACTTTTGGACATATGCTGTCCCAGAGAAAGAATATTACATTTCTTTTAATTTCATATAAATAGTTTTATCTATATGATAAATAAATATTTAAAAACAAAATTTCCTGCCATTCAAATAGGATTTTATTTTATCAATATTTATGATTCAACAACACAGAGACATGCAGCCATGCACACACCCAAGGACAATTTAGAGATACCAGTCATGTTTTTGGACTGTAAAAGGAAGCTGGAGTACCCAGAGAGAACCCACGCATGCACAGGGAGTGAAGAAAGATCCTGGACCAGGAATCGAACCCAGAACTGTCCTGCTGTAAAGCAACAGTACTACAAACTGTTACACTGTGCAGCCTAACGTGAATATAAAAACATTTAGGTACAGTGGAGAATTTCTGAAAATATGGTCCTATGCTCTCTACTTTAGAAAGTTCTCAGATTGTATTGAACCATGAAGTCTTTGCAATAATAAGAATTTTTCCATCAGAAAATCTCGAGAGACCCGACTTCCTCAGAGGCAGACAGATAAAGTTTCGTTTAGTGTCGCGCCAATTCCATTTTTCGGCCCCGATACTGATACCCGATACCTGGCTGTGCAGTATCGGCCGATACCGATACCATCTGTTTGAAATTGATGTGTGTGTGTATATATGAAGAACTGCAGACTATTTGGATGTAAAATAATTGCCATCATGGCTTTGTCAAGCTGCTGCCTACTTTTGTGTAAGGAAAAAGACTAATACAAAGTGAATTCAGGAGAACTCTTTATTGCCTACCTGAATTGGGTGACAATAGTTGAATAAACTTTTGGCTCTCTAAATGGTATCAGGGCCCTATTTGTTGGTACTCGCCGATACTGATACCACCATTTTAGTGCTGGATTGGGGCCCCGCCCGATACTACACACTAGTTTCATTGCTAACTCAGATAAAGTCATCAGAAGCTTTTCTCTGTGGAAGTGAAGTTCTCACCTGATCCTTTTGGAGAAGTCAGAGAACCACAAAGAGAAGCTCCTGTATCTTTCTGCCGCCTCTCTGTGTCCGTCCACTCCCACAGTGGCAGCTTTTCTACACCTGCCAAGCACAGACAAAGCTGTTGATGGGGCTGTGATCCGCCAGCATGTAATAATCCTAAGAGTAGAAGGTATCAGTGGTCCAAACAAAGCTCTTTGACGGCAGAAAGGTCATTGAATCAGAGCTCTGCTCTCTGCTTAGAAGGTGTCTCTGTTCTGTGGAGGACAAGAAAGTTGGACGGAAAGGTGGACAATTTGATTTGGACAGAGTAAAGAGCGAAAGTCTTGCTCACTGATCTGTCCACTCTGGAAGCTAAGCAGATCCAATTTGGAACAATTGGATTCAGATAACAGGCACCTACATGTAAATCAGTTACCTGCAGATTACAGCACATGGTCCAGTTCATAGCTGTCCTCAGAACGAACCCTCTGGGCTAAAATTATACGTCCATTTTATCTATCTCAGCTTCAGGTTAGAGTTTCAAACTCTAGGTCTGTCTGACACAGAGACATCAGCAGGGTCATCTGAGGGCATCAGCTGTACTTACTGCATTAACGCCTGATGTAATTTACCATCACCTGCCTGTGAGGCCAACAGCTGACAGAAGATGATCCTTTATTTTATGATTTAAAAAAAAAACTTAATTCAATCTTTAATGACTGTTTAAACTCAAGATTGCACCACCTGAATAACAACAAACAATAAAATCAATTTGTATTGGTTAGAGATATTTAATTTCTTAGCTGTTAATATTGCCTGTTAGAAATAGGACAGAATCTAGAGAAATGTGAGAAGTGATTACTGCATAAAAAAACCCGAAACAACAGTCAAAGTCATTCATTCTGTAGATACAACTGGAAGCTTGTTACAAATTAAAGTGAGATTAGCTGCGCCATCTAGTGACAGAAAGAGGAAGCTCTCAACAGATTTGTGAAGAGGCAGAAACACTCAGCTGAGTGCAATAAACCTGCAGGGAGACTTGGTGGCAGCAGAGTCTGATGTTTCAGCTTCAAAAGAAGGACAAGTATCTGGTATTCTGCACATATCCACTGATCCAAAGGGCAGCTTCTGTGGAGCAATGAGTCAAAGCTTTTAGAGATGATGGATCATTGTGTTAGGATAATTATCATTTATTATGTGTGAGTTTATTTCACTTTGATATTACCTGCCATTTGCCTGTCAGAACTGATGTTTCCTCCAATTGTTTATCTAATTAGGACGGTTCCTCTGTCCAGATATACAGTTATGATCTTCATTCTGTTTGTGGCAAAGATTTGGGAATGGAATGAGAGCGGTGTCCTTTAGCTAAGAACAAAATGTAATATTTCGATAAGGCTGGAGCAATGGATGTCTACTCATTTGCAAGCGTGTGTGATGTAATGATGTGATGCTGTGGCAGACTGGAGATGTATAAAATACTTTTTTAACTGATAATCGGGTCCACTTCCCGAGAGGTGAGCCCGGTTGGTAAGCAGCTGCCTTCTGTAACTCTAAGCAACTTCTCTGATCTGAGTGAGATTACAATTTCTATCAGAACCTGTTGTTGTGCCTCATGGTTATTTAATACATATATGTATTATGAAGTGTGATGTAAAGAGTTTGTCCCAAGTGATCTCTTTTCAGGAAAACGAACCACAGAGAGAAAGCTTCAAGGTGTAAACACAGAGTTTTCCTTTAACAAGTGGTTTATCTGGAGATGGAAGAATGGTCCTTATGCTGATAGGAGATGCTCTGGGGCTACTCTGCTTCCTCCAGGACTGGAAACCTGCAGCTTAAGGAGTAGATGGTTGCTTTAACTCTTAGACAATCCTGGTGGGATATGTTCTGCTTTTCTTTGAACAGGACAGTGATCCCAGTCATACCTCACTGTCCATCAAGACTCCGTTTCAGAAGGAATCCTGGGGGGAAGGGGAGAGGCTCCATGTGCGAACGATGCTGCAAAACTCCGGACTGAGATTTTTTTTCTACAGTGAGACATTTTCCTTACTGCAGAGAACTTTTTTATTGGGAATGTAAGGGGTCCTTAAGGCTGTAAAAAAAAACAAAAAAAACTAAACGCACATCCATGATTGAGGGTTTTTTTGTTTTACAGCTTTTAAGACCCCTTCTGCAGAACTAGTAGCCTCAGCCGTTACATTAAGTGCCTCAAATATTTTCCCTACTACAAATAAAACATGATCTAAAACCTCTGAAAGCAGAATAAAATAACTAATAACAGCTGCCATGATTCCTAATAATATCACATGAACTCAATATCGCAATGGCCAATTCAATTGCATCAGAAATGAGCAAGTTAATTGGGACACCGTTGATAATGACACTAGAAGGCCATCAGTTTATTTCTTGGTGCACAGGGGGAGGTGTCAGGGGACCCTACTGTATCAACAACCATCCCAGGAGCCTCTGTCACTGGAGGTTGTTTTCCAGTTCGATTGATGGAGGAGGAAGGATCTCCTGTGACCACACTGCTGCTCTGCTCTGCCACGATGACCTTTAGGGTTTTGCCTTCTCAGTTCATTTCTATGTTTTTAGTTTCTTAATTTATTCTTATGTTATGTTCTTTTATTGGAATTTATTTTTCTTTAATCTCAATTATTCTTTTCCTTTTAGTTTAGAAGTTTCTTGGTGATTTTTTTTTTTAGTCCAGCTTAATTTAATGGTCTTCCACCATTTGTATTGCTGCAGTCCTTCTTTCTCAGCTGCTTGACATTATTCCCTGAATAACTTAACCTGAATTATGTAATGTATATTTGTACACATATATTTGAAATTCTGAATAAGTAAATCTCCTCTCATCCTTCAGCATATTAGCTCACAGTTCCTCCTATTAAGCCGCATTCCTCTGCAGGTGCTCCATGTCCCGTTCTCTCTGAACAAGATCATCTAAAAAAAAAAATTGTTTTTCATTATTGGAAAACTCTGTTTGCCAGTTCCTGCAGATTGCACCTTTACCAAGCATCAAAAGACTGCAAGAGGTAAAATAAATAACTGTGCAAAAAAGAAAACATCTCTGTGTGAAATAATGTCAATATGGAGTTAATATAAATAAGTGGTGTGCTAAACTACAGTCTGTCAGGTTGTTAATCACAGATAAACTGTAATATTCATACTTCTTATAACATGGACATGATGGTAAAATGCTGGGATTATTTTGCCGTTAGCCTTTGGCGGCCTCTGGTGGAAGAAAGGTGAACTGCTGGAACTTTATTTAAGAGATTGAATAGAAAAACTTTATTTTTACATATAAAAAGCTACATTACAGATCATAGAACTGTACACACTTCAGGTAGTTCATTAAATAACAGACTTCATTTTCCCACGTTTCCAGCAGTAATGATGTTCACACACAAACACACATAGAGATGTATCTTCACACGACTTCAAGGCTTTTTTCCTTCATCTGTTTCCTGCAGCAGAAACCAAAACATATCAGTGTGAGCTTCTTATGTAGATTCCTCTTTTCAAATGAAATTAAATAAATACATGTTTCTGCTCTGTGACCAAAATTGTTTTATAGAGAGTAAAACATGTTGGATAAATAAACAACTGCTGTATAATTAAATCATTTAGACCTGTTTATGACAAACCTGCTAATTCTCTGGCTTCTCCTATTTCCTGATTCGAGCTTTGCTGAGGTAGACTTCATTAACGGACACAGAGTTCCCCTGATCAGAGTACGGGTTTACCCCGGCCTGCTTGATGAACTGCTGCAGGTCACACTGCCTCAGCTCCTTGTTCAGCCCATCGATCATCTCCATTCTGTCCTAAAAACATCAGAGGAACCAAAGGTTTATTAGGAAGGACCGTCTCTGGACCCTTATTAACCACCTCAAAGGCACTCTCATGTTGCTATAAAGTCTACACTGAAAAAATAACCCAACCGCTTTGGGCATTTACCATTTTTAGTTACCTTAACACAATTATTTTATGTCCCACCCTGCTAAAATGAAACAATTGTGTTAAAGTAACTAGACATTATTAAGTAAATGCCAAAAATGGATGTTTTTTTTTCAGTGTATGAAAAAAATTTATAATTCGGTAGACATGCCTCATCCTACAGGTAAAGATCTGAGCAGGTGAAACATCCAGGAATTTTACAGCATTTATGAGGGGGGAGCTGGTCCAGGGTGGGGCCGGTATTTTTCAAAGGTGCAAGACACAAAAGAATGGAACTAAACAGAGGTCAATAGTTCTGGTGAGCCAACGAGCCTCTAGCAGCTCTGGTTAAGCTTATTTCTCAAAAATGACTGACATGTGACAGTCTGTGGGATTCAAACTAGGCACCTTGTAGTCAGTGGTGGTTCAAGAAAATGTTGATAGCGATGGTCAGGCAGAGGACAACGTGCACTGAGGGGTGGCTAAAAACTGACAGGCACCAAAAACATCTTATGGTCAATCTATACTGATCAAAATATAGATCAACATCTAGATTTTCCAAACAAATCACTGAAGACAGACCAGATTTTTATTCCTGCTTTCCTCGCTGATAAAGCTATCTCCTTATATTTATACAGAGGTTTTGTTTAAACAAATTTATGGTTCTACATAATATATATAAATATAGTAAAAGGGTTGAGCAATGTTGTTTTTCTGTATTAATCCTCTTTATTTGTAGCATATTGTTGTGAATGATTTATTGTTGCATTTTTGCATCCAGTTTTTGGTTACTAAACCAAAGTTGTAAAAGTTGAAGTACTGTAGGAAATTCCCCATGATGGTATCGCTGCTGCCACCATCAGGCTAAGCGAAGAACTGCTTGTTCCAAGGACATCAAATTAAATAACCTGGTAGGAGTGGCCAATAAGGGGATATGGCCCCCCTGGTCACCCCTATAGATCTGCCCCTGCTTGTAACATCCTCTGATCTACTGCTGGGGAGTTAGAAAAAAAAAAGAAGATAAAAAGTAAAGTTAGCTTAATAGTGGCATCAAAGAGCAGCCTGACTGAATCACTTTCTCATCCTCTTTTTATTGTTGTTCATTTGTTCCTCGTTCACTGAACAGAAAAACCTGAATCTAGATTCCCCACAATCAGCTGAAGAAGGCAGAGAAATATTTCAGTAAATTATTTCCTGTTTAAATTAACCTGAAGTGTCTGAGACTGAATGATAAACCTTCTAAAATGTTCTTTAACTTACAGTTCAGCGAAATAACATTATTAGTGTGTTTCGCTATTATAAATAGAACAGCTTTATGTGAGTTTACCTCCTGAACTGTCTGTCTTTTGTTAATCAATGACAACATCCCAGATAATAACTCCACATCAGGCCTTTAATTAGTTAAATGTCCTTTGACTTTTTTCCTTTTACGTAACATCAATTCTTCCATGGAAAGAAACATGAACACAAAATCCTAAATTTAGAATAAGCTGCAGCTCTGGTTCTGATTTCTAAGGCTAGTTTAACAAATAGAGCAAAGCTGCATAATGTTGCTGCTGCAGGTATTATAGCTGCTGTGTTAATGAGATCCACGGTCTCATCTAAAATTATTGTTTGTTGAACACATTAGCATAACATTTCCTTTTTCTTGTGGCTGCATGTTGAGGCTGCATCTGTCCTGGACAGAAGAACTCATAAAGAATTTTTTATTTAATAAAACGACAGATGCTTTAAACTGGCCCGAGTCTCAATATAGTTAGCTGTGGATTCTAACTTCCTTTTTAATACAGTTTTTCAGCCATGTGGACTTACTGTAGATTTAGACAAACTATTTTTTTATTGGATCTTCTTCATAGGACTGCATGATAGAAAACCAACAGTATCTGTTGAAGAAGCATCTATTACCAAGCCTAAAGTTATGAAATTTAATATATCACTTGGTTCACGTAGTTTAAACAAGACATAAACTGAACATAAACTATATCTGTTCATATCTGAACATCAACAAACTGAATAACAGATTAAATCTGGGTTCAGAATGTTTAAATAGAAATATCTCCAAAAGGTTTAACTAATGACTAATTTTAGATCCTTTGGACGTCTGAATCTGATACTTCCTTTTCAGCTCTGCTCCTCAGTTTCAGCTGAAACTATTGAAATATTTCTCTTCTGCTTTAGGCTGAGTGTTGATATCATGATCTGTCTGTTTTCTTCCTCAGTCTAATCTCCTCGCTGTCTTTGGTAAATCCTGCTCCTTTGTTCGTTCCGGTTTGTCTTGTTTTCAGGTTTCTCAGCCTCTCTGTGACTTTTATTCCTGTTTGTTCATCATCTGTCATTTAAATGTTCGACGTGTTAAAGAATATTTTGAACTGAAAAGCTCTGCGTGATGAACAAAGTGGATTTATGTCACTTTTTTAAGTACATGTTAAAAGGGGACAATTATCAGACCTTCTCATTGAAGAAAATCCTCCTATCCAACAGGATCATCAGCTGCTCTGAAGAATCTAAATATATAAAATAAAACTAGAATCATTGTTTTATATGTTTACCTTCATATCTGCTGACAGCATCAGTTTTTTTTTATCCTGAATAAAATATTTACACCATGCAGCATGACAAAAAGCTTAGGTTTGTTCTTATTATTGTTTAAAAGCAAATGTAAGATATTTTATTAAAGATGTTTTCTAAAAATTAAGATTATGTAAAAAAAATTCCAACTGACCTCCAATGCAATTATTATACTTTTTATTTGTATCCAGACTTTCAGTTTAATTGTGATTTGATTGAATTTATTAAACATATTTTAATTTTATATATAAAAAAAATTAAAGTTTATATATTTAATCTATTGAACCTAAACATTATTAAAGTTATATTAAATGTATTTATTTGTTTCCCATACTCTAAAGATTGAGGTTTTACACTAATGATGATGTTTGACTCGTTTACATTTGTCTCCTTTGTTATTTTTTTCCTGATGTCTGTATTTTGTTTAACTCATCAAGTTTTATTGTTGTTTGTTTTCTCATTGCATTGAACTCATTATGAATGTAAATTGCTCTATAATTAAAAGTTTAACTATCATCTTTAAACTCATTCTAGAGGAGTTATTATCTGCTGACTGAAGTGAAGCAAACGTGTTGTTAAATATTTTTATGTTGAAACAAACAGACTTCCTTCACTCAGACATAATGACTTAATGAAACCAAAAAGATCAATTAAGGTTCTGCAGGTTAATGGATCTTCCTCTTTTCCTCCTGCTTAGCAGCTTCATCTAAAACATCACATATTTAGCTCTGCTGTCTCTGCATTTTAGACCCTGCCTCAGCCTTAAACCACTGGCTGTTTAATACTGGCTCTGTCATTCGGTCACCGTCTGTTTCATATTATTTAGAAATCTTAATGTGCAAACCAGGCGTGAGCTGAATCCAAACGCTCCATCAGGAGAAGTTGGGATAAGTTTGGATTTTAATCGACAGTTTAGACACTATGTTTAGGTGGTGCAGCTTTTTTTAGTCTGTAAACCAGAAGCAGCATCCAGACATCAGCCAATCACAGCCAGGCTTTGAGCAGGAAGACAAACCAGCTGCAGCTCGGCTGAGCAGCAGTTTAATTGATGTTCCTGGTCTGGTTTCCTTCTCCCTCAGCCAGAATGGTGGATAATGAGGTATACCTTTACCCTTTCTTCTGCAGTCTGCAGCTCCCACTGCGTCTCTGCTAACGCTGCGTCCAGATCTTCTCCAAGCTGCAGCCGGTTGTGGAGCTCCTCTGTCAGTGACCTCAGGGCCTCATCGGTCTGCTGGACCTCCTCATTTGAACTGTGCGCCTGGATTCCGTGATCTAAGTCCTGCTCCAGATGCTCATAGCGGGTCTGGAGCACCTTGATCTCGTAACTCTGGTCATCTATGGATGAGTGGATCTGTTCGAGACGTCTCTGCATCTCTGTAGGATGCAGGTTGTCTGGTTTTAGGAGGCTTAGAGGATAGAAACGTTCAACATAAAAACAAAGCCATGTTTGAACTCCTACCTTGTTCTCGTTCCATTTCCACCTTCAGCTCCTTCTCCCAGTTTTCTCCATAAATCAGCTCCACCTCGTACTGCTTCAGTTGAAATTCCAGCTCCTGCAGGTCCTCCGTTAGGTCTGGTATTGGATCTGGAAGTGAAGAGGATGTGACCCTCTGGTCCAAAAGTCCTGTTTCCTTCTCCAGAGCTTCAATCTGAGCCTCCAGGTCATGCAGCAAATTCTGCTGCTGCAGGATTTGTCTGAACATCTCCTCTTTCTGAGGATCAGAGGGATTTTTCTTTGCAGAATGATCTTTGAATGAACCACGAGATGGCCGCTCTTCTGCTGATTCCCCCAGAGTTGGAGACCAGTTCCTGCTGGGTTTGTTCCTCCTGGGAAGAGTCGAGGGACCCAGATTGAAGGAGAGAGCTTTCTGAGGACCGTTATACTTCATTAGTTCTGGTTCTGAGGGCTCCACCAGCGGAGGAAGACTGTCTTTGGAGGATTTATGTGGACCTTCGCTGTGGCTGGGACCGGTCCTCCTCAGGATGAAGTGGACCTCTGCAGCCAGCTGACCCATCTGAGCCAGCAGCTTCATGGGGCAGTCATGGGCACCCAGGGGGCGCTCCAACCCTCGGAACTTCCTGATCAGAACATATCGACCCGTCTGGCCTGCATGGGCAGAATGCAAACATGAAACATTTTCAGAAAATTTTGATTTAATCTTTTTGATTTAAGCAACAACAGCAAAAAAATAAATAAAGGGCAGAAAACATAAAATAGCTTTTTTCTGAGGTTCTTATATAACTGTTAGTTACATAAGAAATGGTTCTTATTGTTAAAAGTTAAAGAAATTCCCCTCCTCTTATTGCTTTTCCTATTTTTTTGACTATGTTATACCTTCTATGCCTTGTTCTCTTAATATCCTCCCAAAGAGACAAAAAACTATCACTTAATGAATGTCTGGTTTAAATTAGTTAAAACATTTCAGAGGTGATCATCAGGGCTCCTTCCTCTTCCCCCTTCTGTTTATTTCTATCTGCTACTTTAAGTTCACATTTTATAGGAATTAAAACTTACAATTTAATCATTACACAAATAGGAAAAGCTGCACATTTGTTCAAAAACTCTCCTCACCTCCTTATTTTACCGTGAAACTTACTTTATATTGAAATCAGTTCTCTTCTATAATAAATACTCTAAGTTGTTTATAGTAAAATTAACTCCTCTGATGCTTTTATATAGGGAAGCCTGAGCTCGTTCTCTATTTCTCCCCACTAATTGGAAATCTGCAGGTGGAACGACGTACCGATGGCCTGTGCAAGCGAGATGACGACGTCATGACAGGGAGTGTTCAGCGAGAGACCACAGACCACCCTGATGACCCCGTCCACCCAGACCTTCAACTCCATCTGTGACTGTGATCTGCAAGAGGACATGACAGGAACAAGCTTAGTTACTCAGTTTAATTAATTTACAGGTTAAAGAGAAAAACACAGAACAGAAAAAACATTTCCTGTGTTCATTCCTACGTTTTGCTTTGTTATAAAACGTATTGTCAATAATATTGTTTAAGGTAAATAAATGGCAGTTCTGATACTTTTTTTGCTCTAAAATCATCTCCAAATAAAAAAATTATTCATTCAGATGACTGAATGTCAGAGGAGTAAATGAGAGCTAGTTTTTTGTTAAAATTAGAGTGTTTTCTTTGCAGATCATTTCTTTTTATCAACAGGAAGGAGATGAACACGAAATTTATGGAGAAGATTTATAAAATGTATCTTCTTAGTTTTATAAACAGCCCAATTTAATACAATATAAGCCTTAAATCTACTATTTTAAACACAATGATTTAAATCTAAACTAATGTTTAGCAAACACATCAAGTCGTGGGAAGTATCCATGCTGAAGTCACATGTTTGCAGCTTCGCAGGTTTCTGCTGAAAGCAGGAATGCTGCAGAACACGCCGACATTCCTGCAGGACCCCGACTCCACCCTCACATTCCTCCACTCTCTGTTTATTCTGCTTCACATCAGTATCAGTTTCACCTCCAAATCAATACTGTTGCTTCTTTTACACTAAAATATTTATATTCTCACTTTACTACGAGAACAGATATTCATGCTCAGTGAAATATTTTCAGCCCATCAACAACATTTAATAATTTCCAATGAGCTTAAAAATTGGGACATTTCATAAAAAGGTTTTGTGATTTTCAAAGTTTTTCAGCTTCTATTATTATATCAGCAACATGATAAAACACTAAAGTTTTTATTCTTTTTCTGTTCATTTAAACTTTATTGTTTTACATCAGTTATTTTTGTTTTTTTCAGGTATATTTAGCATCTTTTTAGTTTAGTCCACAGAATAGAAAACATTTTACATCAAGTAAATTCTTTTTTTCACTGGAAACTACTTAATTCAAAATAAAATGTTACTTCACATTTATTTTTTTGCACATTTTTGAAATATTTCTCTAAATCAAACACATGATTAGTTTAATTATTTAAAAAAAATTATCTAGTCCAGAAATGTTTTTCATTTTAAATATAAAATATAATATAAAAATATAGAAAGTAATGTTTGAGTGATTATTCTATCACTGCACTAAAAACACACCCTCAGTATGAACAGTTTAGATCTGTGAGGGAAAAAAACCAGTAATAATCTTTAGGACAATTAGGACATAATTTTTGGCCTAATTCTGATTAGGAAATGAGAAACTTAGAGGAAACACTCACCTTTTTGTTCAAACTTCTCGTTGGTTCACTCAGGTTCTGAGCTCAGGTTGGTCGGATGGCTGAATTAAAGTGACTGAAACACCTTTAGACACAAACTTCACCCAGGAGGAAGGAGGAGGAGTGAAGCTGAGGAATGCAGCTCATCTGGCTGCTCTGCATCTGACTGATGTCACCCTGAAGCTGCTGGGTGATAATAACACTTTTACTGCTTTATTTTACAACCGTTTTCTACTTCCATCTCAACAGATAGATCTTGTTTTCCCAACATTTAGTGGATTAAGGGTTTAATTTGACCAGTTTTGATCTCTGATCTTATGTCATATTTAGTTCTTCATTAAACTGCTAACCTGAAAACAGAAAAAAGCAACTTTGTGCCTCTGCTATAAAATGCTATCACTTTTCTCCTATTATCTCTAACTGGGGTATATTTGAATGACCTGCTGCAGGATGAACCTGTTGCTGTTTTAAAGCCATCCTCTGTTCCTGGGGTCAGTGATGTCACTGTGACGCAGCCCTTTGGCTCGTCCCACTGAAGGAAAACCGGGAGTGTCTCCTGCTGCCAACCGGTCTGTCTCCAGATCTGCAGCATTCCAGGCCGTGTTTGAGTCTAAGTGTTTGTGTTTAAATGAGTCAACAACTCAGGAAAGATTCCTCCGACTCTGAACCAGAGACAAACACAGACAGCAGATCCTAACAGGGATGTTAGGGCCGTAATGCTACTGAAACACTTAGCAGTGAGATACCATCAGTTTGGTGCCTGATCTTTAAATCATGCTGCAGGACTCCTTTATGTTGGGGTCACAGATAGTTTGCAGTACAAACCTAAAACTAGTCATTCATCATCTTCTGGTGCTCCTCATGTACAATCACAGAAAAAGCTCAAAACTTTATTTATAAAGCCCTTTTCATACAGTCAGAGTGGGTACAGGGTTGAGCATGTGCATTATTTTTTTTAGTAACGGGGCAGATCTTTTCAAAAATTCGCCAAAATCCTGCATAAATTCTCAGACTCAGTATGATTGGATTTCAATGAATAATAAAAACTTATCAAAACACTTGTTTAGCTCTATTCATCTGCCAACAATACTGGCTAGTTTCTGTAATAATTTGATACCTGGTTTTCCTTTAACAAATTATTACTGCTACTGTTCCATCAAGGATAAATTCAAAATATGCACAACTTAATATTATCTTGTATACAAATGCTCCAGTATGAGATGTGGATTTCTGCAGGTCCTACGGAGTTATGATGAGCCTCCTCTCTGCTTCTCTAATGAAAGCCGTTCCTGACTGACCAGTCAGTTCAAGTAGATTGCTGCACATTTGTATTTCTGCAGTCAGCGCATGCTTTTTCTATTTTCAGATGATGAAATTAACATTGCTAATGTGAAATGTTAAAAATGTTAAAGCACTTTATTTCTCTTTTTAGGAATTATTTAAATTTCTCCACAGCATTATTCTTAACCTGCAGTGTTTTTTGGCCTTATTCTATTTATGTACACTAATCTTCTCAACTGACCTTAAGCCAAACAGAGAACACCTGTATTTAAACCAACTCTTGATTGATCACAGATGAACTCCATTAACTAAAGAGGCAACCTCTGAAGGTTGCTGGTTCCTCTGGATAAGATTTAATACTACCAGAAAAGATGGAATTTGACATGGAAGAATGCCACTCTGTTTTTAATTTTTTGAGAAAAAAAAATTGAGAAACACATAGAACTGTAAGAAAACAGTTACTATTTTTTTTTTAAAACTCAGTAGGAAAAAAGTCTGACTTCATTAATGTTTAAGGTATGTACTGGATAGCTTTCACTTATATTGATGGAAAGCAAAGGTACACACTTCTGTTGGAAATTATAATATGCAACACATACAATGCTTTGATGAATGTTATGAATATGTAAAAAATTAATTTATTACAGGTATGAAGCATTAGTTTGAGGAAAATTGGAATATGCAGCGGAATACAGGGGAAAACTCTACATTTGAGACAAAACAGAAACAAGATAAGTTTTTGAGGTACAGTGGTAAAAAAAAAATGCTTTTATGTAAATTTTTTCTTTGTTTACCTTTTTCCATTGTTTTTCAGATCATCTAACTTTTTTTTTTTGACAAATTAACTTGTTTAATAAAAGGCTGGTCTCAACCTAACTGTTTATCAAGAGAAATAACTGTCTAAACCACCTAGCCTTTCTTTTTTTTTTTTTAAATAAAATGCTAATTGCCCCTTATAGTTTTTTTTTTTTAATTGAACATGAGTAACCACATCTAACCTTGATAAATGTCAGCCCTTTAGAATCAAGAATCCACTACAACTGAACCTCTGGCAACATAAAGTAGGTTAAAATATCATGACCTGCTGTGATGAAACAAAGAACTGATAAAAAACAAAGTTAATGAGGCCTAGGCGGAAAAACAACTGAAGAAACTCCTTGTTCCACCTGCGACACAGCCAATAAGCTTTAAACC